ATGAAGGTTTGGATATAAACTCGCTCTATGCTGCTTCTGGGGCTAATCTGACCTTTGTTTTCTGGTGGTGATGGTTCTCATCCTGCTGGCTTTTAGCCACACTTTGTTTGCCCCCAGGCCCTTCTGCCAGTGACCTGAGGGATCTCCAGGCCCCGATCAAAGCTTGTGTTAGCACCAAACCCATCTGTGCACCCCGGAGGGAATCCTATCTCCAACCTGAGATGACCAAACCCCACAAAAATGCAATTTCTAGCGTGTGAAATAATGTTGACTGAGGAGTTAATGTGCATAAACAAAGTCTGCACCTTTCCCTCAGATAAATCATTTTTTGGGTCAATCTGGCATTGCATGAACAGCTCCAAATGTGCAATAACTCATAGACCAAGAGTTTTTTCATCTTACATAGGAACGACCTGGGCTTTGCTTTCTTCCAAATAAGGAATTAATAATGCAATAGTTGTTGTTTCCAAGGAGCTCAGCTTTTTTGAGGAGTGCCTTTTTCCCCTCCTCTAGACCCGGTGAAACACATGAACATTTGGAGCCTTTAATAACCGCTGGCGGAGCCTGGTCTTGATTTCTGTGAGAACTGCCAATGATTTTGATGTCAGGGCTGCGAGGTACAATCGTAGTGTTGAATTTCTCCAGGCAGAGCAGTTGAAAAGGAAGGTCAAAAGCAATAAGGGCCAGGTTGCTCTGGGCGGGCGGGGGCGTCGGGTAGGGAGCGTTTCCCCGGCCCTCTCGCCCAAGAAAACGTTTGGCTGTCACAAAACTAATAAAGAAAAACCTCCAGAGAGGGGCTGGGAGCTGCAGGTGTAGGAATCGAGGCTGTATTTACACACAAGCCAGCTTAATGGCGTGGGATTTCTGCTCAAGTGCTTCTTAATGCAACACAAATTGAATACCCAGCACAGGGAAAACCATAGAGGGAAAGGATTTTTACGGCTTTTGGGGGAGAAAGTGCTTGGCTCTTTTTTAGGGAACATAAAGGACAGTGAGATGGATTTCTTGGGGTGCTTGCCATGTGAAAGTAGTGCTTTAGGTATGTGCAGAGGGTTCAGAGCCAGCCTCTGAGCTGGTTCTCTGCTGCCTCCACCAGCAGGGCTTTGGGCAGGGTTCCTGCCATATATCTGGCAACACGGGTTTAAAATTAACTTACTGAAACAGCAGATAAAATTTGGGTTCTTTAAAACTGTGATATTAAATAGAAGCCCTCGAGGAAAGCAGCCAGGCCTCTTGCTGAAGGTCCCATCCTTGCCCTGCCTCTCTGCTGCCCTATAAAACAACAATTATGTGTTTAAAGTTACTGCTCCGTGTCCCTTATAAAAGAAGACTTATTCATAAACTTCTGGATAGACAGTTCTGTGGGAATCTGACTTCCTTGGCCTAAACCAAGCTGCCTTTTCCAGATAATATAATGCTATACAGGCTCTTTAAAGTGCAGGCACACTATTTATTATTATTTATGATGTATAAAAGACACCAGTGTTGAAGCCCCAAGGACAGCTGCTGTTCCCAGAAATATTCACTGACAGGCTTATGGCAGGGCTGCCTTCCCTGCACCTCGCCCAGAGCCAGGGCACTGCCATGGGCACAGCTTGTTTTCGGGGTGGGATGTGCCAGGTGCAAGTTGGGCATTGTTGAAATGGATTTGGATGTGACCTTGCAGCTTCTGAAGGCAGGGCAGAGCAGGCCCCACACTCACATGCACGTGCCTTGGGATTTTTTTAATAGGCTGAAATCAGTGTTTGCTGCAGGACCCAGCAGCACGTGGCTGAGTTTGCTCTCTGACAAGTGCAGCTCACCCAGGAACAGCAATATTAACCTAAATTTGATGTAATTTAACCTTTTCTTTCCATCTCATATCTGAAAATGGGATCTTTGTTTGGGAAAGCTTTGGTGAGGTGTGGAGCCAAGGACTGGGGGCACGGGCAGAGGAGCAGCTGAGCTCAGCAGTGCCATCCTGTGAGTGCCAGTGTCCCAGAACGCTGGGGACATCCCTGCCCTGCCGTGGAGCCTGGCCTGGAACTCGGTGGGAGCTGGGAATGTGCTCCCTGCGTTCCTGCCCTGCCCTGGGAGCAGGATCGGCAGCGGGATGGGGAGTGGGATCAGCGGGGGGATCAGCAGAGGGATCAGCAGTGGGATCAGCAGGGGGATCAGGAATGGGATCAGCAGTGGGATCGGGAGTGGGATCAGCAGTGGGATGAGCAGCAGGATCAGCAGTGGGATCAGCAGAGGGATCAGCAGTGGGATCAGCAGGGGGATCAGGAATGGGAGCAGGAGCAGGATCAGCACTGGGATCAGCAGTGGGATCAGCAGGGGGATCAGGAACAGGATCAGCACTGGGATCAGCAGCAGGATCAGCAGAGGGATCAGGAACAGGATTGGGAGAGGGATCAGCAGTGGGATCAGCAGCAGGATCAGCAGGGGGATCAGGAACAGGATCAGCAGCAGTATCAGGAGCGGGATCAGGAGCAGGATCAGCACTGGGATCAGCAGAGGGATCAGCAGCAGGATCAGCAGTGGGATAAGGAACAGGATCGGGAGCAGGACCAGGAGCAGGATCAGGAGCAGGATCAGGAGCAGGATCAGCACTGGGATCAGCAGTGGGATCAGCACTGGGATCAGCAGCAGGATCAGCAGCAGGATCAGGAGCAGGATCAGCAGTGGGATCAGCAGCTGGAGCCCTGCCCCAGAGCCTTAGCACAGGCAGATCAGGAACATGGCATTTGCTGCATCCTGCCTCAATTATTTGCTCTGTAATTGCCCCGAGGTTTGTGCTTCCCACCTTTCCCTGGGATGCAGTTGGGATTTGTATTCCTGGCACTTTTCCTTTCGCACGAGAATCTTTCCTTTGTTCTCTCCCGACTCCTGTTGACTTTAAGAATGGTTTTGATTCCTGAGCGTCTCTTTGAGGGTTTCTTGTCAAAGGGAATATTTATATTTCATAGCATTTGAGCAAAAAAAGGCAAAGCAGGCAGGGACTCAGAATGCAGAATTCCTGTCAGATGCTATGCACAGCTTTTGTGGGAAAGCGTGTGAAACACCCAGGTTCAAAACCTTCAGCTCCTTCTGCTCTGCTGTTGTGTGGTGCAGATGTGTGCAACATCTGGTGTGTGGGAGAGGTGCTTTGGGAGGCGTGTGCTGGGGCAGTGTGTGCTGCTGCTCTGCTGTCCCTGCCCTCGGCAGCTCTGCTCCTGCCCAGCTGGGACAGGACAGCACTTGGTCTTTTTGATGGCTGCAGCTTTTTAATGCCACTTTTCCCGGGGATGGAGCGAGGTTTATTTCATTTGTTGTCCCCTCTCTCACTGCCCTGCCCCTGCCCTGCTGTTCCCTCACTCAGCACTGCTCATTAGCAATCCTTTATTAGCCCCCACCTTCCCCTCTTCCTGCTGGGGAATAATTTGGGGTTTATGTGCAGAGTAATGACACCCCATTAACTGCCCTCTGTATCATTACTAATTCACACCTACGGAGTATTTTCCAAGCAGCTGATCTCGGTTGTCTCTTAATTGCCGGAGTCTGTAAACTCTGTTACGCTGAAACTGTGTGAAGGATTTGCACCCTCTAAAACTTCTCCCTCCAGTGCAAAACATAACAGAGAATGGGAATGTGGCAGCTTTATCAGATCTTACTTCTTCCCTATTTAGGCAAATTATTTGCTTCTGGCTCTTTGAAAACTCCAGAATTTATATTAAGGTGTGAAAAATTCGAGACTAAAAGGGTGAGGAAGTTGTGGCTGTCCAGCCTGGAGAGGAGCAGCTCCAGGGAGAGCTCAGAGCCCTTCCACAGCCTAAAGGGCTCCAGGAGAGCTGCAGAGGGACTGGGGACAAGGGATGGAGGGACAGGACCCAGGGAATGACTCCCACTGCCAGAGCCAGGGATGGATGGGATCACAAATGGTTTCAGCTGAGCATAAGAGAAAAAAATGCTGTTGGTGGCAACTCTTATTTTCCTGGAAAAAAGAATCCTGGCCCCTGGCAGAGGAACAGTTTCTGCACAGAAAACATGACACTATTTACAAAAAGCAGTGTCTAATATCCTTTTCCAGCTTGGAAGGAGGAGTTTATTTCAATACATCCTTTTTTAATTGCCATGAGCTGGACTTGTAAATACTGTAAGTGGTTGAGTAACAGCCCTCAGTGAGCAGAGAGAGGAGGGGACAGGTTTTCCACTCTTGGAACCCTCTGCATTCCCTCAGCTCAGGCAGGGAGACTGCACGCAGCAGATACTGAACACAAATACAAACCTCTTAATTAAAAGATCATTTAAGCCCAGGGGATGACCATGGGTGTGATGCCAGTGCCCAGCACAGTGATCCAGCTGGGTGAGGAGTTTGTTTATGGGGGTGGTTTGGGAGGTGGATCCAGGGTGTTCTCACGAAAACATTTCTTCCTTTCCTCTAAAAAATGGAAGAGACAGAGGAAGGTTCCTGCTGAGAAATGGGGAGTTAAGGAGAGGGGAGGGATCTCATTGTGTAAGATTTGTCATTAACCTGTGCAGGATCCAGTGGGTTTTGGGACAGGATGGAGCACACGGGCAGAGGTGGGGCAGGGCACTGTGGGATTCTCTCCAGAGCTGGAGGATCCCTGTTTCCCCCAGTCAGGTACATGCCTGGAAGCCAGCCCTGTCTGAGAGCAGGAGTACTTTGTGTTGGAAACAATTTCCTGCTGCAGTTTGGATTTCCTCCTGAATAATCCTTTGCCCCAGTGGGATGGTACAGAGGGATTCTAGCAAAGCCCAACTGGCCTGGCTGTGAGTTAATCACATCCCTGGATGGTTCCGTGGCAGATGTTCAGGGAGGGAGATCCCCCATGGGCACTGCTGGGAAATCCTGATCTGAAGGGTCAGGAGGAGAAGGAATCTCTCTGCCAGCCTGGGGTTTGGGTCCAGGTCTCTGCTCAGGTCCCAGTGAGGGGATGAGCAGGGGGAGGAGGAATTTCATCCCAGAAATCCACAGTGAATGCTGAAGGCAGAGCCTGAGCCTTGTTCTGTCCCTGCAGGGATGCTGGTGGTGATCGTGCTGCTGCTCATCGCCATCGCCGTGGTCGCGCTCTGGCCCACGGGATAACCCCGACCCCGCTGGAGCTGCTGTGCCTGGGGAGCTCCAGGGCTCGGGAGGGACCTGCTGAGGGCAGGGAACGAACCCCATCCATCGCTGGGAATGACTCCACAGCTGGGAATGAACTGCATCCATCGCTGGGAATGACTCCACAGCTGGAAACGAACTGCATCCATCGTTGGGATTGAACTCCACAGATGGGAATGAACTCTACACCTGGGAATAAACCCCATCCATTGCTGGGAATAAACTCCACAGCTGGGAATGAACTCCATCCATCGTTGGGAATGAACCCCACAGCTGGAATAATCTCCACTGCAGCAGAGTGAAGCAGCACCCACCAGACATCCCCCAGGGTAGTTATTGCTGGGTTACCGATCCCCAGGGGTAGTGATTGGTGGGTTATTGATCCCCAGGGGTACTTTTTGGTGGGTTATTGATCTCCAGGGATGGGAGCTGGACTCAGCCCAGCCTGTGAGAGTGGAGAGCTTTGCCCTCGTGTGCTCCCCAGGGGCTCTGCCAGCCTGGCCTCGGGAGATGCACCAGAATTAACGTCCTCACTGAGCTCTGGCTCTCCCTTTGACAGCTCCTCACACCCTTCTACAGCTGAGAAGAGGGACTGTCTATTTAAAAACTAATGAAAAAGAAGTATTAAATGTTTGCTTCTGGCCAAGAGAATAATTATTTTGTTACACATGTCAGTTTGATTTCAGGATTAATCGAGCAAGCAATAAATACTGATTAAAGCGGATCCATTTATATACAGTTTCTCTGCCTGGGTTTTATTGTTTCCTGTATTTTGTGTTGTCTGTGAATGATTTGTCCAATGCTGCCATATCCTAAGAGCTGGTCTGGAGAAGGAAATAAGCGATTTCTGTCAGACTTTGTGTGTATTATGACAGATCTGTGAGACTTGCACTCACCTGCCCTGGCGGTGCCTCCCTTCACAGCCCTGCCCTGGCCCTGGCTCTCATTTCCCTCTGCCCAGACTCCAGCACTGCTCTGGGGGTGGAACCAGGTCTGCTGGTGCTGTCCCCTCTTGACTGGCACAAATCCATTCTTCTCTTCTGGGCTGGGTTTGCCCAGACTGGGAGCTGGGCACTGCCCCTTTGCCCAGGGTGTGGTGGCTGCAGATCCCTTCACTCCTCTCCTGGCAGGGCGCAGGGTTGGCTGGGCTTGGACCCGGCGCTCAGGCTCTGAGGATGAGACCATGGAAGGAGGTGAAGAAGATGGAGTTCTGCAGGAAGCAGAGGCAGGGAGCTCCTGAGTACCCCGGGACACATGGAGTACACAGAGTCCCAGAGTGGTTTGGATGGGAAGGACTTTAAATCCCATCCAGTGCCACCCTGCCATGGCAGGGACACCTTCCACTGGCCCAGCCTGCTCCAAGCCCCATTCCCAGGGATCCACAACTCCTCTTCGCTGTGTCCTGGAGCTGTGGGAGCTGTCCCCTGCATCCAGAGGGCATTTCCCTGTCTTTGTGCTCCCTGGAGGGCATGGCAGGGAGGAGCTTGGTGGGAGAAAGGCCCAGAGGTCCAGCTGTGCCCCCTCCAGCTTCAGCCAGGGCTCTGTGCCCAGCCCATCCTCAGCACTCAGAGCTGGAGGTTGGAGCTCCTCCGGAGTCTTCCGTGTGCTCTGCTGGAGAAAATCCTTTCCAAGTGCAGCCCGAGCTGTGCCTGGTCTGTTTTCTTGGAGAGATGCTTCACCTTGGGCTGTCAGAGAGGGGAGGGCAGGCAGGGGTGGTTTAATGTCCTCTGGTTTTCTAGAGGACATGGCAGGGGGTTCAGGAGTTATTGTTGATGTCAGATTAGCAATGGAGCTTTAGGCTGGGCTGCTCCAGCTGGAAACAAGGAAAGGTTTTGGAGGAGAGTTCCAAATCTCTGCATTCCTGCAGCTCTGCAGAGGGAGCGACACTGGGAATGCTCTGGAGCTGTTCCTCAGCAGCAGCCTCCAAACCTGGAGCAGGATTTCACTCCCAGCTCTGGAGCAGCCCCGTGGATCTTCAGTGACAGGCAGAGAGCAACACAGGGTTTGTTAGATGAGACCAGGGGCCTGGGCTGCTGATGAAAGCTGTCAGTTCTGGAGGGAGTTCGGCTTTGTTTGAATTCCCAGACATGCAGGATGGGCGTGGAACTCATCCTGGTCAGTGCTCCAGGGGCCTTTGCTCTGAGCCAGGCTTTCAAAGGCACCTTCTGACCCACTGGGACCTGCAGCACATCTTCCTGTGAGCGCTGGGAAGGGTGGCAGCAGCAGGATTTGCTCGCTGTGCTGGCCCACAAAGGGTTCTCAGCCTTGTCCTTTAGGGAACATTTACCGTGTCGTGTGGGTGAGGAATTCCCTTAAAAAGCCGTGGATTTGGCAGCGCTCTGTGTGTGCAGGGCAGCTTCTCTGTCTCCCTGCCCCGCTAAAGGAGAAGGAAGGTTAAAATACGAGGGATGCCAGGGTTTGGCTCCGGCAGCAGCGGTGGAGGAGCCAACCTGGAGCGGCTTCTCCAAGCAAAAATCTTCCTGGAATGTGCCCAGAGACATCCCAGGCTTCGCCTGCCCTGCCACCTCCTCTGTCTCTGAGGATGTGCTCAGGAGCTCAGCTGCTTCCAGCTGCAGTTTCATCAAATCCCGGTGCTGGGGCAGGTCTGGTGTGTGTCCCAGTGCCCTGGGAAAGATCCCCACCTCCTGCAGGAAACAGGGATCCCCCTGGAATGCTGCATTTCCACACTCCCTGATTCCTGAGGCGAGCTCAGCGTGTGGATGGCTCCTCTCCCACACTGCCGGGTGGGAGCAGGCTGGGAAAACCACTGCAGCTCCAGCCCTCCGTGGGAAAAGCCTCATCCCCCTCTTTCCAGAGCCAGCGTGTCACCTTTGGACAAGTGGCCACCTGCAATCTGGGAAGGCCATTTGCCCCTCGGAGCAGAGGGCTGGCGCTTGTGACCCGTTTGTCTCTGCAATAAAGGTCTGACATTTCCGCCCCCGGGATGTTTTTGGATTCATAAATTCCCAGCACTGCTGAAGGCTCGGGCCAGCTGGGCTGACCCCCAGCGCCTGGCAGCACCTTTTTCCTGGATGTTTGTCCCTGGAAGTGTTTTGCTGCCTCGGTTCCCCCCACCTCCCCGTGCTGTCGGTGCCACCAGCGCCGGCCCCGCTGACCCTGGATGGAGCTGGCAGAGCCCTGGGCCCTGCAGGGTGGGCAGGAAGGGCCAGCCCTGCCCAGCAGCCCCGGGATGGGCTCCAGAGTGGGGCTGGCAGCGTTCCTGACCCCAACCAACCCCTGGCTGTCCCCACACCAGGCCCCAGCTCTGGGCAGGGTCCCCGAGGGTTTGGCTCTGTCCCACTGCAGGCACAGCTGAGCCCACAGGGGCTGGTGGGGACCCCCATGCCACCCACCCACGGTGACCCTGCTGTCCCCAATGCCACTGGCCACTGCCTGGGGTGCTGGGCAGGGACAGGGCTGGGGCTGCCAGTCAAAAACAGCTGTGCCACCTCAGCCTGCCAAGGGGACACCGACAGACCCAGGGGGTGGAGGGGACACCATCATTTCCTTGCCCAAGTCCTTGTTCCACAGACTCACTGAGCAATGGGGTGGGAAAAAGCAGAAATTCCTGGAGATTTTTACAGTTTACAAGAGTTTATTCAACTGGTTTCTGACTTTAGTTCTACCGAGGGGGTGCTGAACAGTTATAAGCTCCTTCGGGTCAATTACAGCCAATCTAACAAACAAACAAACAAAAGGGGGGAAAAAAAGGAAAAAAAAAAAGAAACAACTTGGAAAAACAATAAGAAAATCCACAACTTTTCCACGTGTCATTAAATATATTCATATATAATAACCATAATATATTAGTATGCATTGTAAAGAAACATCGCCCAAAGCAGTCTGCCATGGTCATAACTAAACAACATTTACAGTTCAAGATATTAACAGAAATAATAAAAAAAAAATTTAAAAAAACAAAATAAAACAACCCCAAAACGAACACAGGTTTGTGAGGGGAGGAGGCGGGGCGGGGAGGGGGCACGGACACGACGAACGAACAGAAACGAGACCAAGCGACTTGTGTGGGGTGCTACGGTCAGCGATGATTGTTTTGGCATTTCAGCTGCTCTCCGAAGCCTCTCTGAAGGCACCACAGCCCTGCCAGCACCCGCTGCCACTGCTGTCCCCAGGGGATGGTGGCCCTGGCTGGCTCCTCGCTGGCCCCGAGCTGCCCCGGCCGTGCAGGGGTTGGGGGGCAGCCTGTCCCTCTGGGGGAGCAGCAGAGGTTCCTGGAGGTGTCCTGGGGGTGTCCTGGGGGTGTCCTGGGGGTGTCCTGGAGGTGTCCTGGGGGTGTCCTGGGGGTGTCCTGGAGGTGTCCTGGGGGTGTCCTGGGGGTGTCCTGGGGGTGTCCTGGAGCAGGGGTGGCTGCAGGGAGGAGCTGCCCCTGGAGCTGAGCTGGGGCCGTGTGCCCTCCCAGCTCCAGTCCCACCAGTTCCAGCAGCTTGGGGCTGCTGGGGCACACCAAGGGCACCGGGAGCAGAGATGGAGCCAGGGCTTCTCCTGGGCTGGCTGGAAACACCAAACTCCAGCAGGGACGGGGGACAGGCCTGGGGACAGGCTGGGGACGTCCCCCCTGTGCCAGCATCCAGGTGCCGTGCCAGTCATTTCCTTCTGCGCCCCCAGGCTGTGCCAGTGCCCGCAGGTCTGGCCCTGGGGTCGGGGTGGGGGTCTTCTGCAGCCTCCAGGAGCAGAGGGAGCAGGGAAGGGCTGGAGTGTCCCTGGGGGGCTTTGGGGTGTTCGGGCTGTGCTTGACAGTGGTGGGAAGTGGGAGTGAGCCTTGGGTGTCCAGGTGTGCTATGGGCAGTTCCCGAGTCCCCAGGTCCCCTGGCCTTTCCTTCCTGCTCTCCACGTGGAGAACTGGCTTTGGGCTGGATTCTGTTACTTTGAGGCACCATTTGAAGGCCGGGGGCATCCTGGCTACCTGGGGATGTGCTGTCCCCAGCTTTGAGGTCCCCTGGCAGCAGCTGATGGTGGCTGCAGCATCCAAGCCCTGTTTTGGGGCTTTAAGCCTCCGTTTAGACACTTGAGGTGAGATTTTATCCCTCAGAACCAAGGCTTCAGTTCCCTTGGCTGCAAAACCCTCAGCTCTCCTTGAGCTCCGAGATAAGGAAAACCAAGTCCACTTTGGGAAGGGGAGAACACACAGACTTGGTGGAGGGAGATGCTTGATGTCCAGGGTGGGATTTTTCTCCTTATACCCAGATTTATTGTGGGGGTTTTGTGGTGGCAGGGGAAGCTCAGCAGAGCTGGGTCCCTCCGGGTGGTGTCTCGAGCAGCCTCCTCTTTGCACCTATTTACATGGCTGCCCTGCTTTATGGTGGTTTATGTCATTATATAAATATTGTCAATTGCTATAAAACAAGGCAAAACCACTGGAAAATGTCATAAAAGAGATGTTTCCAAGTTTCCTAAAAGGAAAAATAGCAGGGAGGTTTTGCTTTTCATAGCGACTCATGTTTGCTTCTCCTGCAGGTACCGTGCTGCCCTCCTGCCTCCCTGCCCAGCTGCTCCCGTCCCCCTGCATGAGGTGGGACTGGATGCCCCCGTTCCCTGTGGGCTGCTGTGGCAGGGGAGCAGCCTGGCACAGGGTCACAGCTCCCAGCCAGTCCTGCCCGCAGGGTGCCCCAGGGGAGGATGCTCCAGTCCGAGGTGCTCAGTGCGTTCATGGCTGGAAATTGGGAATTTTAAATCGGCTGTTTGCCCCCCCAGCAGGAGGAGGAGAGCTCCAGGTGGGTCACGCCTTGCTCCTGGCTGAGACCCCTTCCCTGTGTGGGGTCTAGCCCGGCCAAGCCTCAGATCTCTGCCCTGGCCCCACTGCCCTTGGGGACAGTCCCTGGCACCCTCTGCTCCCCCCTTTGTCTCCAAGACTTTCACAGGGATATTGGGGGGCTGCAGCTCCAGAGGGAGCGAGGGCAGCGCTGCCGTGGGTTTGGGAGAGCTGCCCGAGTCTAGGAGTGAAACCAGCGAGCAGCCAGGACCTGGTGTCACCTGCAGGGATTTCCTACCATCAGAGGGTTCCTGGGGTGCTGACAGCAGCAGAGGGGACTGAGCCCATGGAGGGGGTTCAGGGCTGGCCACAGTGGAGATTCAGGGACTGAGACTGGCAGGATTTTCCAGGGCACTTCATGGGAACTGGATGCCAGCTCATTTTTTGTCAGGTCTGGGTGTTTCCTTGGGATTCCTGGTTATTGACTCCTTGCCTGTAAATGGGTGGCTGGAGGGGGACAGGGCACCCTGTGGGCTCAAACTCCTTCAGTGTGGTGGGGCAGCACCCTCAGGGTCCGGGGCTGAGCACGGAGCCATTCCCAGAGTTATGCACAGCAGGAAGTCACCCACCACCGTTATCCCCTCTTGGCTGTGCCTGAAGTGGACCCAGAGCACCATCACGGCTGGAGACCTCGGCCGCCCCGGGCACCACCAGATGGTGGCCACGGCTGTTAGATACCAAAGCCCTCCAAGACCCTGTCCGCCGACCCTCGGCTCTGTCCTCAGCAAAAGTCTCGGTTTAGTTTCCTCTACAAGAACTGTCTCAGTCAGCCTAAGTTGCAGATACGTGTTTTGGGGATGGGGGTTAATTTCCAGCGGTGCTGTTGATTAGTTTCTTACAGGGTGGATGTGCCCATGCCGTGCTTTGGAGGCAGCAGATGTTGGCAGCTGGAAGGCAGTTTGGTGTCTCTGAGTTCTTCAGCAACAGGGCAGGAGGGAGCTGGGGGGCCCCGGGTGCTGCACACCCGCACCCTGCTCTTGGGTGTCTCTGTGTGTGCAGTCGGGTTTTTGTTGGGTTCTGTTGGGTCCTGTTGGGTCCTGTAAGGTTTTATTGGGTCCTGTTGGGTTTTGTTGGGTCCTGTTGGGTCCTGTTGGGTCCTGTTGGGTCCTGTTGGGTGTTGTTTGGTTCTGTTGGGTCCTGTTGGGTGCCGTTGGGTTCTGTTGGGTTCTGTTGGGTGCCGTTGGGTGTTGTTTGGTTCTGTTGGGTTCTGTTGGGTCCTGTTGGGTCCTGTTGGGTTCTGTTGGGTCCCATTGGGCTCTGTTGGGTTCTGTTGGGTCCTGTTGGGTTCTGTTGGGTGCTCTTGGGTCCTGTTGGGTTCTGTTGGGTCCTGTTGGGTCCCATTGGGTTCTGTTGGGTTCTGTTGGGTCCTGTTGGGTCCCATTGGGTTCTGTTGGGTTCTGTTGGGTCCTGTTGGGTTCTGTTGGGTGCCGTTGGGTGTTGTTGGGTGCTGTTGGGTTCTGTTGGATCTTGTTGGGTTCTGTTGGGTCCTGTTGGGTTCTGTTGGGTCCTGTTGGGTTTTGTCTTCCCTGGAATACGAGGTGCAAGCCCAGCACCCCCCAGCCGTGGTCGCTGCCCCCCGTACCCCCAGCCCGCCCTGGCAGCCGGTCCCTGCCCGCCCCAGCTCTACACAAAGCAGCATGCACAGTCAGTCCCTGCCTCTCCTCCTCCTTTAGGCTTTCTTACACTTGCCCTTCTTCTCGCGCTGCTGGAACTTCCGCAGCCGCCGGGCCCACGTGTCCCGCCACTGGATCACCAGGCTGCTTTTGTCCGCAATGATGCCGCTCTGGTCGGGAGAGTCCTCGTTGTTGCCCAGCAGCAAATACTTCTTCATGGGCTTGATTTTGGGGCACTTGCAGGCGATGTCCTTGGAGTGGATCCACAGGGTCTGGTCTCCGCGCCGGATGCGGTTGCTGCCTTGTTTGTAGACGGAGATGATGTTCACCGTGAACTTCCACCAGTCCGCGTTCTTTTCTGCTTTCAGGATGTGGATCTGGACAGCTGGAAAAAAATTACACAGGCAAGAGAGGAGAAGGTGTTACTGTTTGGGGGTGAGGAGAAAACGAGCTTCGAGCCTAACCTGATGGGCTGTGTGAGGAAGAGGCATCTTGCAGCAGCCAAGGGCTGTGGATGGCCCAAAATGCTGTCCCCAGGCCACCCCCAGGAGCAGGAGCAGCCAGTGCTGCATCCGAGGGTCTCAGCAGAGCTCCCCAGAGCACCACAGGCTCGGGAGCTGCTCTCCAGCTCTGCGTCTGGCAGAGTCACTGACGCACCTCTGCAAGGGCAGCACCAGGCTCCGGGGAGATCTCCTGGTGTCCTGGCAGAGCACTGGGACACCTCCAGCTCCACAGCCAGAGTGAGGCGGGAGGACAGCCCTGAGCCTGCACAAGGTGGTGCTGGTGATAATGATGATGATGATGATGATGATGATGATGATGATGATGATGATGATGATGTTTTCCAAGTCCATGGCAGATGCTGTGTAACCTCCTCTGGAGCCATGGACTGAGCAAAGCTCTGCCCTTGCTCTTTCCTGGAACAGGGCTGAAAATCAGCTTCCAGGACATCACCTTCCCCAGGCAGGGCCCTCCCAGCCCTCCTGGGTTTGTTTGCCAGCTGTGGGTGTGGAATCCCCACCGGAGGGAAATCCCAGGTGAGGATGGCCTGGCTGGGGGAGCAGGCAGGGGCCAGGCTCTGCACAGGCAGCACAAGCACAAAGAGCTTTTTCAGCCAAATCACGGAGCTTTTCCCTTTCCCCCACTGCTCCCTCCATGCCCTGGCAGCTGTAAACCCCTGCCCATTCACCTGCCCACCTGAGCCCCAGTGGGGCCAATCCTGTTTGCATGAATTAACAGAGGGAGAAGAAACTCCCAGAAAACTCAGTGAAAACTCTGCTGCTTGCCTTGTAACAGTCCAGTTTCCCCCCCGGGCTGGTGGTGGAGGAGCATCCCCTTGTCTCTAAACCCAAGTGATTCCAGGCTCTGGGAGGAAGCAGAGCTCTGCAGCCCAGCACAGCTTTTTAACACGTTGCAAAATATATGGGGTATTTTTTTTTCAGAGCGTGTCATGGAGGCCAGATGCTTTCATTAAAAAAAAAAAAAGGGAAAAAGGAAAAAAAGGAAAAAAAACAACCCTAAGCTCTGACCATGTATTTCCCTGTCTGGTGTGAAGGTAACAAAATGTGAGGAGTAGCCAATTTTTATTTTTTGGAAACAAATCTTTCCAAAAAAGCTTAAACCTTTGACCTGCCTGGGTCCACACTGACAAAATGGAGAAAATGAATGAAAAGGAACTGGAGAGAGGTGGTTACAGGAAACTCTGCTCTAAAACACACAGTCTATATTTTTTTTTTTATGTCAAGGCCCCTGTCTCTTATTTTTTCCCTTTTTATTAATGAAGTGGAAGGAGTGAAGGCTTTGAGGAAGGCTTGGCTGCTGCAGGCACAGCTGCCTGCCCTGACAGCCGATTTCTGCCCACAGCTTCCCCTCCAGGAGCTCAGATCCTCCTGAGGCGGGTTTGGAGCCCAGCTCTGGGGGTGTTTGCCCGGCTGTTTCAGTGCCAGGCGGGACTGGCATCTCCCAGGGGACACCGGACAGCAGAGAGGCAGAAACGGGCCAGGATGAATTCCTGAAGCACCTGAGCTGGATTTAAGGACTCCCTTCCCATGAAGGAGGGTTCAGTCCCTTCCTGATCTGGGCTCTGGCTCGGCTGTGCCCCCCATCCAAAGCTGCTGTGGGGTGTGGTGCTGTCCTTCAGCTGCCCTCTCCTGGGACAGCTTGGCTTGTGCTGGGCTCTCACTGCTGGTGCCCCCTGACCCCCTGCAGGACTGTCCCCTCCCTGACCCCCTGCAGGACTGTCCCCTCCCTGACATCCTGCAGGACTGTCCCCTCTCTGCACCCCTGCAGGACTGTCCCTTCTCTGCACCCCTGCAGGACTGTCCCCTCTGCACCCCTGCAGGACTGTCCCCTCTCTGCACCCCAGAAAAACATCCCTGGCAAAACCCCTGGGGCAGCAGGTGGGAGGTGGGACAGGGGATGATGGTTCCTCGTGGGGATGGGGCTGTGCTCCCCTGGGGGCAGGAGAACAAAATCGAGGCAGCTGCAGCTCCCACTGCTCCAGCTGGGACTGGTGACACTGGTTTCACTGGGAGTGGGCTCTGGTGCAGACTTGTGACACTGGTTTCACTGGGGTGGGCTCTGGTGCAGACTGGTGACACTGGTTCCAGCGAGGAGGGGACCCAGCTCCCGACCCCGCCTGTGCCCTGTTCCTGTTCCTCCCTAACCTTTGCAAACTCGGGCCAGCCCTGGGGGAGTCTGGGGGCACTCCCAGAGATGCAGGGATTTTTCTCCAGGTTCACTTCCCTGCAGCCTGCTCTGCTCCCCGGGCAGCTCAGGGGCAGCAAACGGGCCTGGGGAGCTGGGGACAGCAGGGGACAGCAGGGGACAGGAGAGGGACAGGAGAGGGACAGCAGGGTCCTGCTGAGGGCAGGGGCTGCCCCATGAACCACATCCCAGCTGGCACTGATGCTCCTGAAGCACAGACCCCACCTGCATGGTGCCTTCCAGCCCTGCCCACGTTTTGGTTCTTTGCCAGCAGAAGGTGAGCGAGCGGTCCCCGGGCTGGGGGAGGGCAGGGAGGGTCCCTGGTCCCCTCCTGCATCCCCAGAGCTCAGGGCTGCTCCCGGCTCCTCCAGGCCTGGCCGGGAGCCTCCAGCCACAAGAAAGCCCCAAAGGCTGGAAGCCGGAGATGAAAGCCCAGGGGTGGATGGTTTGATGTTAATAAAAACAAAACCCAGCCCAAAGCCTCGAAACAGCGTTTGAGGGCAGCTGCTGCAGGCTGAAAGCAAAGCAGTGCCTTGCAGCATTCAGAGACCGTGAGTCAGGGCCCCAAACTGCTGAGGCTGCCATGAAAACAGGGACGCTGGGGAAAACCTAATTATTTAATTCTTCTTTCAGTTCACATTTGGGGTTTGTGCTAAATCTCCCGAGTTCAAGGCTTCCCCTGCTAAGGCCGACTCAGGGCTGGGCTGCAGGGCCAAATCTGTGCATCCTATTGTGGAATCCTGGAGCATCACACGGATCCCATGCACAGAGCAGCCTGGGGGCTGCAATTTGGGGCCCAGCGCTGTGCTGGCCCCTGGAAAGATCCCAAGGGGTGGCAGTGGGAACAGAGCAGCGGGAGGGTCTTTAATACAGCCAGGTGGAAGGGCGTGCTGGGGACAGTGGTGGCAGGCACAGATGTCCCAGTGCAAGGCAGGGCTCTCCAAAGGCCTGGCTCCCCTCTCACTGCACGAGTGCAGAGGAGTCCATGTGGATTTTATTCCAACCAGCAGCAAAAGGTGACCCCGACACCATCTGCGTTTGGGAATGTAAAGGGCTGGCTCCTTGCTGGAGCAAAGTGTTAAAATGTGATTTTTTTCCCCCCCTTTTTTTCAGTTTTTAATTTATTTGGCGGCGGCTTTGCCTCGCTCTGGTTGCCAATTTCCTACTGGTTTAATATTGGAGATTTATGATCCCTAATCCCTGGGTGTGCCCTGGTGCTGGGGGACCCCTCGCTGCCCCGGCTCTCCCTCAGCACGTGGCTGCAGCAGGGCCTGCTCAGCTCCAGGAATGGGATTTCTCCACCTTCCAAGCAGTGCAAGGGGCTCTGAGTGCCGGGCTGGTGCTTTCCCCCTCCCTTGGGTTTTTTTGGGGATTCGGGTTTTTCTGCCCCTCCCTCCATCTTTTCAAGCTGCCTTTTGAAAACACATTTTGCTTTTTTCCAGCAGCCCCTGCCAAGCTCCTCTCGACAAAGGGGGTGACTAAGAGAAGGCTCCGCTGAAGGAAGGATTTTTTACTTTTTTTTTCCAAGAAAGGGCAAAGTGAGCAGATGATCTCACCTTTCGGATGAGGATTCTGTTCCTCAGCCCCATTCCCTGCTCAGGGCTGGGACGGGGATGCAGGGCTGCCATGGGGCGATGCCTGGGACCCCAGGGCTGGCACAAAAACATTCCAGCATCATCCATGCAGGATCGGCCCTGCTGCAGCACAGGCAGCTCAGCATCAGGGCCAGCACGGAGATTTAAAAGCTCCGGGTTTCCTTCAGCACAGTCACACCCCACAGAGAGCGGGAACATCCCCAAAATCGGGCAGAAAATGTGGCACCTGAGGGAGTACAGGCTGTTCACATCCCACCTGCTCTCATAGATACCCCCTCTCCTTTTGGGAATCTCCACCCTGGGTGGGTTCAGCCGGAATCCCTTCTGCTTCCCCGGGATTTCAGTGCCCTCACCCCAGCAAACCCCTCCTCTCTCGCTGCTTTTCTGGGAGCTGAGTGGCCCTGCGCTCCCCACGCAGCCAAAAAATCCCAGAAAAAGCTTTTCTGCCTCTGCTCCTGCCTCCCTGAATCTCCCGGCCTGCCCTCCCCGCGTCCTGTTGCACTCCAAATATTTGCACCCAAACCCATCTCGCGGGGAAAAAGCCCGAATTAAAATAAAAAGGAGAAAAAAAAAAAAAAAAAAAAAACACAAACCCGACAAAAACAAACAGATAGGAAAAATAAATAAGGGAAAATACCGCCTTTGAAAGGCTGAATGAAGCGGGGAGCTAAAAAGCCCCATTGAGGAGCGGGGCGGATGATAGCTCCCGATTGAGCCCGCGGGAGAAGGAACTCTGCTCAAGCTAATTAGGGCCTTTTAGGACATTCAGCCCAGCGATGCCAGCAGAACGGTGAGGAAAAGAGCCTCCTAATTGGCTTCCTGCTGGGGTGTCAGCCCCGAAGTCTTTATTATCCCTCCCTGCACCTTTTCAACCCTTTCTTCCCTGCCTGGCCCTGCTGAAAGCCTGGGCTGGCCCGGATCGCTCACCCCGCTGCCTCAGCGCCGTGGGTTGTCCTCAAATAAGGAATTGGGGCTGCCTGGGGCCCTGGGGGACCCTTCCCCGGCCAGGAGGGTCGTGGGGAGCAGCCCAGTGCCAGCACTGGGACAGGGACAGAGTCCCCCGCTCCTGAACCCGGCCAGCGCATGGCCCGGCGGATGGGGAGGCTGCAGAGGGGATGCTGAGCCAGGAGAGGGAAGGGAAAGGGAAGGGAAAAAGGAAGGGGAAAAGGAAGGGAAAAGCTCTTTGCAGCTCCCCCAGGCACTGCTCCAGTGGCACCTCGTCCCTATTCATTGGGATCACCCGCCTGAGACACCTCCTGAGCCCCCCACACCTCCCCAGGGTCTGCGGGAGCCACAGAGCAGCCCTAAACAGAGCCGAGAGTGTCACCCAAAATTCCAGCAGGGCCGAGTGTGAGTGTCACCAAAACCTCTAGCGGAACCAGGTGTGTCACCCAAACCTCCAACAAAATGGGGTGTGTCACCCAAAATTCCAGCAGAGCCGAGTGTGAGTGTCACCAAAACCTCTAGTGGAACCAGGTGTGAGTGTCACCCAAAATTCCAGCAGAGCCGAGTGTGTCACCCAAGACTGAAACAGAACTGGGTGTGAGTGTCACCCAAAATTCCATGAGAGTCGAGTGTGAGTGTCACCCAAAATTCCAACAGAACCTGGTTTGAGTGTCACAAAAACCTCTAGCGGAACCAGGTGTGTCACCCAAACCTCCAACAAAATGGGGTGTGTCACCCAAAATTCCAACAGAGCCGAGTGTGAGTGTCACCCAAACCTCCAAGAGATCTGAGTGTGAGCTGTCTCAGGGCTGCACCACCCTCTGAAGTCTCCCGGGAATTATGGGGGGATTGGATCCAGGTGACAGGGAACTGCTTGCTGCTCATCCCCACAGCAAAATACATTTTAAACATTTTTAAACCACTGGAAAGCACTTGGAAAACAGGAGACTCCTGCAGATGCTGGGACAGCCCCCAGATCAGGGTCCGCGGTGTGCTCATCCCAAGTGACACAGGACATCGCTGCCCATCGCTGCCTCTCCGAAGGTGGCCAGAACCATCCCAGAACCGCTCAGAGCCCGGCCGGGGATGCTCCTGCCCCGCATCCCCGCGGCACCGCCCGGCCCTCACAGGGACACTCACCATAGTCTTTCTTACAGTACTTCTTCATGTTGATCTTCAGCTTCCCCTTGGAGGCTTTGCAGTACGAGTCACAATCTGCGCGGAGAGAGGGGGAGGGCAAGAAAACATTAACAAAACAAATTAGCCTGCAAATGAAGAAAGCGCTGGGGGAAGGGGGGCGGCTCAAAGCTGCAGCCTGCCGTGAATAAGCAGCGTGCCTGTGATATCCATCTGCCGGGCCCGATCGGGCATTGAGAAAAACCTTCCTTTCTAAAGAAAGCTGCTGACAAAGGAGCCCGTCCTCCCTCCGCTCCCCCGGCCGCCTCTGTCTTCCTGGGAGACCCCGGGGGCCTCCCTTATTGTGCCACCCAGGGCTTTTGAGAGCCACACAAATTCCCCCTGTTCTCCAGCTCCCAACTGGAGCCTGCCCGGAGCCCACAGAGGCCCCATTGTCACCCCTAACCCGGGCCGGTGTCAGCCTTTGGCATTCATTGCCGAGAGATTCGGGCTGGGGTCAGCCCGCCACAATGCGGGTCAGAGAGGAAATTAGCAGCCCATGAAGCATTAGCAAAGCCTTTTGGTGTCCACTCTACTGAAGTGTGCAAATAAAATACCCCAGTAGGAACATTTCATTTCCAATGGGCCCCCACTGCTGGGACACGCTGGCCTGGCACGGCCCCCTGGCACCGCCACCGCCGCTGGCCACGGGCCACGGGCCACGGGCACGGAGCCTCGGGGACACCGAGCCCTGCCCCGGGAGCTGCTGCCCTGCAGGGTGGGCAGTGCCCTGGGGGAAAGCCCCACGGCAGCAGGGCCACGTTGCTGTGGCTGCATGGAGCCCATCCTGTGCCAGCTGCCAGGACCGGGTGGGCTCATGGCCGTGCTGCACGTCCACAGCTCCTCAGCACCCACAGAATGCCCTGGCTGAGGGACAAAGGGCACGGCTGTCTGCAGCAGGAGGCCTCGGCACGGCCACGGCCCTTGGAGGCCTCCATCTCTCCCAGCAGCGTCCTTCCCTCACTGCTGGGCACAGCTGGGGAACCTGCTGAAGTGCCCAGCAGGGCTCCAGGGGCTGTGGGGATGGTGGCACTGCTGCTGGCATGCCATGGCCAGCTGACAATGGGTGCCAGGACCATGAGGAACCGCCTCAGCACAACCCCCGTGACCCCTGTGTGTCCCAGCCCCTCTGGACGTGGCCATGCAGAGTCCCCAGCTCAGCCCCATGGCTCCCTGCTGCTCCTGCTCCTCAGGAGAGACCCTCAGGCAAACCAGGCTTCCTGCTCTTCCCCCAGCACCCAGCCAGGCCAAACCCAGCCCAAACCCTGTGATCTTCCTCCTGCAGGAGCCCCAGCTGAGGCCTGTGCCCAGCTACAGCCCAGCCAAGGCCCCTCCAAACCCTGATGGCTGAGGGCTTCCAGCCACCCGTGCCTCCCATTTGTTTTTCTCATCTGACATTTCTGAACATCAAATAAAAGCTGAAATGCTCCGAGAAAGGAGTGGATATTCCATCAGAGCTCTAGCTGAGTGGATGGATGCGCTGTCAGAGCCCCAGCCATGCCCAGGTGGCAGGATGCCACCCCGCAGCGGGACGTGGCTGCCTGGTGCCACTGAGCTCAGGGAACAGAAACGTTCCTGATCCAGTGTGCTGGTCAGATGTTCCTGGCCATAAACATGGAAGGAAAAGTCTTGAAGGGAACTGAATGTCCGTGCAGTGACCAAAGAGCCCGGGAGGATCCCCCTGAGCTTTTTGGGGGAGCAGGGACAAATAGGCCATCGGCTGCTCTGCCAGGCTGCTGGCACCACTCTGCCCAGCCCAGGACACCAGTGTGGTCATGGTAAAGCTGCTGGTGGCTCTCCCTGGCACAGGAGTCCTGGAGCTCTGTGGAAGTTCACTGCTGCTGTCACACCTCAGCGCTGGGCAGAGCAAGAGGTGACCCAAGGACAGGTGGGCAGGGACAAGGCTGGAAGCTGTGCTGCACATCCCTCCTGCCCTGTCCAGGTCCAGGACACGCTGGCCAGCAGCTGGCCCCGAGCACCGGGGTGGGCAGCAGCTCCCACCTGCACCTGCATGCTCAGCCCTCGAGGGATCTGCAGCAGCCAGGCTGGCAGAGCACACCTGCAGCAGATCCTCCTGCAGCCCCAGTGCTGCTGGGATCCAGCAAGCAGAGACACCATAGCTCCACACTCCAGTCCAGAACCCTCACAGGAGCATCCCCGAGTCACCTCAGCAGCCTGGCCCCACAGGAACCCCCCTGAGCACGGCTGAGCTCCCACCCCTGGGGAAGCTTTGCTGAGCTGCTGCTCCTCACTGGGGAAGGGATGGGAGCAGGAGGTGGATGTGCAGCTCAGTGACTCGTGGGTGTGCACAGGACACACAAATGAAGTGAGACTCTTGCAAAATTTGTCCCCAAATGTTTACATGACCAATCTCAGGAGTCCCAGGTGCTGTGCTGCCTGGCTGTGCCTGCTCTTTGTCCTGCAGGTCCTGCTCGTCCCTCTCCATGGGGCTGCAGAGGCTCAGCCTGGGATAAGCTGTCTGTGGGAGGGGATGCCAGAGCCCAGCCAGGAACCAGGCTGAGAACTCCCAGAGCTGAGGGACACCCCTCTGGCATGGGGGGTCAGTGTCCAGCAGGTCCTGCAGGAGAGATGGGGGCAGCAGGATGGGCCCAGCTCCATCCCAGTGTGCTGCACAAGTGTGCCCTGCTCAGGGGCAGCTCTGTGCTGCTCACCCTGTGCTGCTCACCCTGTGCTGCTCACCCTGCTGCTGTCCTGCCCATCCTGCTGGCCCTGGCACAGACCTGGCACTCCCTGAGCCCCTCTCAGCCCGTGTCCAGCCCCCGGTGCAGGACAAACCCGCCGGTCGGTGACTCCGGCCCTTTCCTCCCAGGCATGCTGAGCTGCACAAATATCCCCGAGCAAATCCCGGCCCAGAGCACAGCCAGCCCTCGGTGGGGCTGGGGCAGCCCTGCATGCCCGGCTGGGGCAGCTCCAGGTCCCGAGGAGCCGCTGCTCGCCCAGGAGCAGGTGGCGGCTCCTGCTCCTGCTTCGTGTCGCTCGCAGCTCGCTAAGACGTGTCAGCACAGCCTTCAGCAGCTTTGCAGCTCAGCCCATCCCCTTGACAGAGCTAATTCTCTGGCTGGGCAGGGACTTTTCACAGCTAAACACCTTCTTTGTTTCGCTTAATTTCTATTTTTTTTTTTTTTTTTAATAGAAACTTGAATTTCTTTTCTGTTGAAACATCTCTGGTTTGGGGTTGTGTGGGGCTGCTGCGATGGGCTGAGAGCTGCAGGGTGCTGAGGGCTCACGCAGGATTCCTTAGTGGATCCTGCTTTTCCCGGAGCGCTGATGCTGCCGGGGCTGGGCGGGAAGAGGTGCTGGCAGCAGAGCTGTGGGTGCTGAGTGTTGCTGCAGGGAAGACCCTGCACCAGGCACCTCCTGCTGCATTCTCAGTTCCTACATCAGCTTTGAGCCGCTGCAAAGCCACATGTCGGGAACGGAAATTAAAGGCCCCTTGATTCTGACATGATAGAGCGATTAAAGCCACATTTCTTGGCCTGGGTACCTAACTGGAAATGCAGATATAAGGCTTAGATCCCCAAGGGGATTCAGATTTCTAATCCCAATTTATGCAGCTAAATTCCTATTGATTTCCCCCAGGTAGGGCCCTAAATGCCTTTGTGGGCTGCGATCCAAAGTGGAGGTGCTGTGGCTTAGGGGGAGCCTGAGCCCCGCACTCGGGGTGGGGGGCGTTCTGCTGCCCTCCCTCCAGGGGCTCTGCAGGTGGGGCTCTGCCTGCCCACAGCTCCTGTTGTCACCGGGTGCAACCAGACTGAGCCACTAACTGAAGGTACACCCCAGATATCAAATCCTAATCCGTGATTCCTTTAGCAGAGTGAGTGGGACGGAGAAAACAGGAGTGGGGTCTGCCTGCGCTCCCAGACACCCCCAGAGCGGCTCAGGGCAGAGCAGCAGGGCTGCTTTGCTTTGCTACAAGGCAAGGGGAGGCTGTGGTGAGCAGCTTTTGGGTTCCTGCCCTTTTCTCTCCCTCCCCAGAGTTACTGCTCAGAGCTCCTGTGTGCTTGAGCTGCCCCTTGCTTCCATCCCAAAGAATTATTTTCCCATTTCCTCCATCAGTGCTGGGAATGGCTGCTGGAGTCGTTTGGAGCTCCAGCCCTGCTGGCTCGGGGCTGTGCTGAGCACAGGTCCTGAGGGAAGGAGGGGGTGCTCTGCTGGAGCCCTCTCCTTTCCCAGGGAGCAGGGATGGGCTCATCCCTGTGGGACAAGCGCAGGGACTGCAGCCTCCAGCTCACGGTGACCTGAGGGATCACTGCTGTAATTTAATTGGTGCAGGACTCCACCGGGAGTCTTTGTCTCAGAGCTGGCTGCTTTAATGTAAAGAAGCTTTAATGAAATAGCAAAGCTAAGGCAGAGGATCCTTCCCAGGTTATTCATTTCAGCAGTGGCATCGCTTGTCCTGTGCTTGCTGCACCCTTGGCTGGCCACTGAGTGGACAGGGGGCTGTTATCACTAAAGTGGCTCTGTTATCACTAATTGGCTCTTCTCCTCTCACCTGGCCATTACTCAGCTGTCCTGCACGGTGCCCTTTGCAATTATCATGTGCAAATGAGTGCCCTTCATCCCTGGCCAGCTGCAGGACAGCTGGTGTCCCCAGCAGGGTGGCCTTGGCCGTTCCTGCAGCATGGCCAGGAGCTGGAGCAGGGAGCCACAACCCTTCCAGGCCGTGGAGCTGGGATGAGCTGGGGCTGGGCTGTTCTAGACAGGGATCCCAGGGCTCTGCATCTGCCCCCCCGAGGGTCTGTGCCGAGCCCTGGTGCCCAGCAAGCCCCTGGCACTGGTGCTGTTTAACCAAGGAACCGTGGTCTGTCCTTGCAGGGGCTGGCCGGGGTCTGTCCCAGCAGCTGAGGGGTCTGGGACCAGCCTGCCAAGGCAGAGGCACCTGCTGAGCACCAGAGCAGCTTGTGCTCTCCAGAGAGGGCTGAGGAGCCCTCGGCACAGCACGGGAGTGTGGGGCACCGAGGGCAGCCCTGCCCTGCCCCGGGCACAGCCCCCACGGCACCGAGCCGTGCCACTCGCGGGCAGGGCAGGGAGAGCGGGAGGAGTCATTTCCACTCTTTTTCATTTGTTTGTTTTGGAGCTCTGCAGACCCAAACCTTCCCCTGGGACTTCCCTGCCACCCCGGCAATGGGGGCACAAAACCTTTCCTGCGGGATGGCACCTTGGGAGCGCCGGGCAGGAGCATCCCAGCCCTGCCTGCACTGGGTCCTGTCCCCGAGCCGCGCTGCCCTGCCGGAGAGAGGATCCCGGAGCATCCCGGAGCATCCCGGAGCATCCCGGAGCATCCCGGAGCATCCCGGAGCTCCCGGGCAGGCAGCGCCGCCGGATAACGGCCATTAACCTCTCCCTTGGAACAAGAAGGTGCAAATGATCCCACAGCAGCCTCCTTTCTTCTGGCTGAGCAAGATTGATTGAAAAACAAATTGGCGCAAATAAAGCATGTAATTAGATTAAAGCCTCTCGCCTGGAGCGGCTGGAAAGCGCCAGCGAGGGATTCCCGGGAGCCTGCAGCCCCTCCCCACCTCCTGCAGCCCCTTCCCACCTCCTGAAGCCCCTTCCCACCTCCCGCAGCCCCTCCCCACCTCCTGCAGCCCCTTCCCACCTCCTGCAGCCCCTTCCCAGCTCCTGCAGCCCCTTCCCATCTCCTGCAGCCCCTTCCCACCTCCCGCAGCCCCTTCCCACCTCCCGCAGCCCCTTCCCACCTCCCGCAGCCCCTCCCCACCTCCTGCAGCCCCTTCCCACCTCCTGCAGCCCCTTCCCAGCTCCTGCAGCCCCTTCCCATCTCCCGCAGCCCCTTCCCACCTCCTGCAGCCCCTCCCCACCTCCTGCAGCCCTTACCCACCTCCTGCAGCCCCTCCCCACCTCCTGCAGCCCCTTCCCACCTCCCGCAGCCCCTTCCCACCTCCCGCAGCCCCTTCCCACCTCCCGCAGCCCCTTCCCACCTCCCGCAGCCCCTTCCCAGCTCCTGCAGCCCCTTCCCAGCTCCTGCAGCCCCTTCCCAGCTCCCGCAGCCCCAGGATGTGACCAGGCTGTCCCCAGCACACCCCGGCCATGTCCTTGCGGCTGGCCCCGGGCACGGCTGGGTCGCCTTTGGCCCGTCCTGGCAGCTCTGGTCCCGGTCAGCACCGCAGCCACCCCCGCCCCAGCCCGGGGGGAGTTCCCTCCCTGCCTCCGGGGCTGCCGGGGCCGGTTCGGGGCTGGGGATGAACGGCCTGAGCGGTTTTTGGTGGTTCAGGACAGGCGTGGCAGCAGCATCCCATTTCTCCCGGGTTAAAGGGAGCAGGCGATGGCTGCTGGTGGCACAGCGGGGACAATCCAGCTGTGCCAGACACCCGCTGGAAACCAAACAGCGGTGGGAACACTGCACTGGAAAACAAACAGCCAACTGGAAAACTGCTCACTGGAAAACTCCACACTGGAAAACACGGAGTTTTACAGCTCTTCCACACCACCTCTGCCCCCTCCTCAGCCCCCGGCCAGGGCTGGCTGCACATTTCCTATCCCTTCCCACAGGATTTATCCGGTGCTGAGCCTCAGGACACGTTGGGGACATGGGGTACAGATCCAGGGGTGCCCTGCCAAGAGCCACTGCCAACACCGTGAAATACATTCCTAGGAAAACATCTGTCCTCGGGAGCCGAGCACCCCATAAATTCCTGCCTGACAGCAGCTCCCAGCCTAGGGGGAAAATCAGAGTTTTCTGTTCGGGGAGAAATGCAGAAACACGGAGCTGCTGCTGGGGACAAGAGCTTTGTGTCTCCAGGGCATCAGCCTCTGGAAATGTCCCAGGATGGGAGAGGGAGCTTGTCCTGACCCTGAAGCTCGAGGCTTGGCTATGGTGGGATGTGAGGATAAAGGGTTGCAGGGATTAAGGGATATGGGGATGAAAGAATAAGGGGGTGGAGGAGTGGAGGGGTTTGGGGTGGAGGGAATTGGGTGCAGGGATGTGGGGGTGGAGGAATGCAGGGATTTGGGGTGGAGGGATGCAGGGGTGGAGGAATGAAGGGACGTGGGGCTGCAGGAAGCCCAGCACTGGGATGATGAGAGCAGGGTGCATGAAGCTGATCTGCATTTCAGCAGTTTTGGGGGCTTGTTTTTGGTTTTTTCCTTCAGCTTTTCTGAGCTGTTCTGAAGCGACCAGGAGCTCCCTCACTGGAAGCCCCTGTCCCCTATTGTGCTCCCAGCCATTCACTGGGGTGAGAAACCTTTCCGAGGGAGCTCCAGCTGCTGATCAATCAATCAGTCAATCAATCACGCAGCCAATCCATCACCTCACTTACAGCTGGGACAAGGCAGAGAAAGCCCGGGCAGGGCTGAATGAATTCCTGCTTTGGATGGGCACAAAGCTGGAGACTCCCAGGCTGAGCCCAGCCTTACCCCAGGGTGAATGAAATGAGGATTTCCCCTCCCGCCTGCGCTGTTCCCAGGCTCCGGGATGCTCCCGGCTCTCCGCTGGGCTGACGCTTCCCCACAGCCAAGGGCTCGGGCTTTTCTCCCTGCCAGCGCTGAAACAGGAGCTCCAGCTCTTCAGGGGGGCAGTTCTCCCCGTTCCTGGCTCTTGGGGGAGCATTCAAGCTAAAATTCGGATACCACAGCACAGCCAGCTCTGCCCGGGTCTGCTCTGCCCTCCGGGAAAGCTGCCCCAGGTAGGGGAGCCCAGGCACCACTCAGAGCTGGCTTTTCCCTTTCCTGCATTTACATCCAGCCTCTTCCCCACCAGCCAGGAACAAAAGGGCCCAAAATGACATTTGGAAGGGCCAGATCCGGTTTTGAAACGGCAGAGGTTGATTTCTAGGGGAAAACCATGGGGAGCTGCATCAATCCAATCACCTGGTTTTATTTAAGGCCCCTGGCTGAAATCATCCTCCTCAGATAATCATTCTCCAGAAAATCTGGATTTGATTCAGATAAGACAAGAACTGACTGGCAGGTTTATAAACCTTCGTCCCCCCCACCACTATTTTTGTTTGCCCTTTCACTGTGGTCTCTCCTGTCTGAGAGGGACCAAAAAAGAACCAGAAAATCTCTTCTTGCCTGGCAGCAAAAATGAGGAGCAGCCCCTCCTCTTCCTCCAATCTCCCAGCATGGGAGAGCATGGATGCATTTAATCTAAACAATCCAGTTTTGGCCTGTTTTCCCAAACTGATTGGGACCCCTGAGAGTAAAGCAGAGCCAGGCAGGACCCCCACAGCAGAGCTGGCATTGTCCCACCCCTCGTTCCAAGGCCAGCTTTGGCCCGTGGGCCTCTGCAATGGCTCACGCTGGGGTGATGCTCCCTCAGCTCTTGGCCACTTTCTGTCCCTCGTGGCCACGAGCACAGGAAATGGAGCAGCACCTCTCCCACAGCTGCCTGCACTCAAAGTCTCCCACTAACTGCTTTTCCCATCTTGTTCCCAAACCCTTTTTCTCCCATAGCATGGGAGCCCTGGCTCGCAGAGACCGATTTTGGGATTTGTGGAAAACCCCACAGGTTTCAGCAGGGTGGGGTGGGAGCTGAGAGAAGCCAAGACACAACACTGCTCGATGCTCCCTGTTGAGGAAGAGGGATGAAATATGCAGGGTTCAAACTCCTTGGACAAAGCAATGCTTTAAAACTCCAGTAAAATCCCAGTGAGAAGAATTATGATGGGATTCTGGGACTGATGGAGTGCTCAGCTTGGCTCAGCCTTCACTGGGCTTTCACTGGGAGGTGGCACAGGAGGCTCCTGGCGGGCTCTGGACATGGGGACATCTGGCCCTCCAGGGACACAGGGATGCACAAGGCACTGTGGATTTCCCATCCCTCGGGGTAAAGCCTGTCCCTCAATCAGTCCCACAGCACGGGATGGCCCAGGAGAACAGCACAGGATGCCCCAGGAGAACAGCACGGGATGGCCCAGGAGAACAGCACGGGATGGCCCAGGAGAACAGCACGGGATGGCCCAGGAGAACAGCACGGGATGGCCAAGGGAACAGCACGGGATGCCCCAGGAGAACAGCACGGGATGGCCCAGGAGAACAGCATGGGATGGCCCAGGAGAACAGCATGGGATGGCCCAGGAGAACAGCATGGGATGGCCCAGGAGAACAGCACAGGATGGCCCAGGAGAACAGCACGAGATGCCCCAGGAGAACAGCATGGGATGGCCCAGGAGAACAGCACAGGATGGCCCAGGAGAACAGCACAGGATGCTCCAGGAGAACAGCACGTACCTGCGGGCTCCTCGGCGCTGCTGGCGGCCGTGGTGGGTGGAGCAGCCGGGATCTCTGCAGGCCAGCCGGGGCACACGGGAGCAGGGGAGACAAAAGAAACACGATTATTCCAAAGCCCAGAGCCTGCTCCCTTCACACGCTGCAGGCTCCCCTCCCAGCCGTGTCTGCCAGCGAGGAGGGTTCCCAGCAAGAGCCCCCAAACCAGTACAGCGGAACTGGGGAACCCGGCGTCCCTCAAAGATGTTGCAAAGGGGGTTTTTAACAAAAAATTTTGGCTTTTGGCTGCGTGCTGCACTGTGCCCAGCCCCTGCGGGCTGCTGCCACTGCCTGTCCCTGAGCTGTCCCCTCCAGCTGCTGTCACCAGCTCGGAGGCAGTGCTGGCAGGACCCTGGTGAGAGGCAGGGTGCAGGTACAGCACTGCAGCTCTGCTGGGATGCGAGGGGTGCCTCCCACACTTAAAGGAAACACAGATGGTGTGTTTCCTTGGCTCTGATTTGGGGCCAGCTTCGCAGAGCTGAAGCCACAGCATGCTCTGGAGATCCCTTGCCAGGCCTGGCTGTGCTTGCTGAGAGATGGACTGTGGGTGGAGGGAGCTGTATGGTCCCAGCTGTGCAGGACGCTGTCCTGGGTGTCCCTCCTGCATCTAGGGCACGCTGCTGGCATTCTGTGCATTCCTGGGAATGCTGGCAGGAGAACACCCCACCAGCCATGTCTGAAACAGTTTGAAGGTGGAATTTAGGCATGAGCTGGGAGCGGGCATCTGCCTCTTTCTGCTCGTGCTCTTGGAGGATGGCACGGCCACCAAGGCAGGGTTGGCTGGGGGGTGCGGCAGCAGCTCGTAGGGCTGCAGCCCAATCAGCATCAGGGGATTTTTGGGGTGGCTCACCTTCATGCAATTAAACACAGCACAAGGCCCGGTGCATGGCCGGGCAGCACTGAGAGCCAGCACAGCCATCCCAAAGCTGGGCTGGGGCTGCCCATGCCCGGCCTGGCACAGACCCATGGGGGTCTCACTCCTTCCCCCAAGGTGTTCTTTTCATGGCTACAGGGCACTGGGAACAGGGAATTACGAGCAGTGGTAAATCAGAGCGTGACCAAGCCCTGGATGGGCCATGTTGAAATCCTGGGGCTGTCTTTATTTAGTGCCACGAATCCTGAGGGAGCTGATGCAAGGAACAATTTACTCTGATTTCCCCTGGCCCTGGGGAATGATTGATGATAAACCTTTGTGCACACTTGCTGCAGAGCAGACTGGAGCCACGGCTGGAGGTCTTGGGGACAACAAGCCTCTGCTCTGGGCTCTTGCTGTCCCATTGCAACACGGGGAAAAATGAATCTCAAGTGACCCCAAACCAGCCTGGAATGTCTGTTTTCTTCAGCAGGAGAAGGTGGAGAAAGGGTCTCTGCCCCAGAATTTGGCAGTGGCCATGCTGTGGGGGGCAATGGTGTAGGAACAGACTGCAGGTCCCCAACAAAGGCTTGAATCTTTTAACCTTCGCTTTTCCTGCTGGGCCTTTTCCCCCTTTCAGCAGCAGGGAATCACCCTCAGGGGCTCCTCCTTCCCATCCATCCCAGGCACTCTAATGCTGATGTTTATTTTGTTAGGGCAGGTGGGGATGTCCCACAAGGAACAAGAGCCACTGGAAGATCCAACAGCAGCAAAACCCACAGGCAGCAGAGAGGGGCCCAAGACTGAACCCCGACTTCCCAGGCAGTGAGAGCTCCGAGGGGCTGAGGGATCCAGGGTTTGCAGAGCAGGTGCTGCAATGGAGGCATTTTGGGAGCTGTACCTGGTGCTTCTGCTGTTGTTTCAAGAGCAGAGGGTGAGAGCAGCCTTGGGAAGGCAAATTGAAAAGCAAACCCAAGGAAGCCAATGGTAAAACCACCCGTGTTTCTGGGAGGGCTGTGTGAGTGCAAGAGCCCCTTCAGCAGCCCAGGGTTCTCAGCTGTGATGGCAACTCCATCAAAGGAGCAGCTCCTCTGGTCTGAGCTCTGTGCCAGTGCAGCACAGCCTGATTTTGGAGAGAAGAACCTGTTTGTAGCCATCTGCTTTAGCATCCAGCCCTCATGTGACACCCCTAAATAAATGTGCTCTTGGGGCACCTCTGTTCCATGAAACCAAATCGAATTCCCAGCACACTTGGCTGTAGATGCACTCACAGAACCCCCGCAGGAAGGCAGGAGAGCCGCTGGAAGCCGCTGTGGATTTTGGAGCACGTTTGGGCAGAGCAGAGGACGGGGGTCCCCAGGAAGCGCTGCCCCCGAGCTCAGTGGGGCTCAGCAGCGCCCAGCCCGGGCAGGGCTCCGGCGGGGCTTTAAGGGTTAAAATCCATGCTGCACACCAAGAAAGATGCACGTACTTATGCAGGGGGCGATGGGCGAGCGGCTCTGCTGGTAGCCCTTGGCGCAGCGGTTGCAGGTGATGCCGGTGACGCCGTCCTTGCAGGGACACTGGCCCGTGGTCTGGTTGCAGGTCTGGCCGGCGGCGCCCACGGGGTGACAGTCACACTCTGCGGGGACACAGGACAGCAGCTCAGGGCGGGCACGGCGGGGAGCGGCAAAGCCCCGGGACCGGAGCTGGCACCGGGCACAGGGGCGGCCCTGCCACAGCCCCAAGCGCAGCCTGCATGGCAGGTCCTGGCAGCTCATCCCGCGGACACAGCTCCTCACCCCGGGAGAGCTGAGATCGGCAGTTTGCAGGAATTCAAGGCAGGGCAGCAGCACCCACCACCCCAACCCAGCAGCCCAAATTCCCGAGGCGGTGGCAGGGCTGGTACAGAGGTACAAACCCCGCAGGGTTCCACCACCCCTCCGCCAGGCAGGAAGAAATCGCTTGGGAATTCATTTCATGTGCGCTCCAAGAAAAATCAAAGCAGTCCTTTCAGAGCTCTCGCTCGAGCCCTTCCCGCTGAGCAGCATCCCTGGCAGCTGGCACTGCGGGCACAGGAAGGAAATGCCCTTGTGGGATGCAGGCGGGCTGGAGGACCTGCTCTTCCCGGCCAGATGGATGCAGCCTTGACGGCAGAGCTGGGCAGATGTGAAGGGTTTGGCAGGGGATGTAAATACTGCACTTGAAAACATTCAAACATTCGCCATCTCATTTCCCACAGTGGGACTTTACTGGCACAGCTGTTTGAGGGGCAAATGTTTTTAAAAAATGGCGAAAAGAAAAAAGACAAAAAAAAAAAAAGGAAAAAAGAAAAAAAAGCATCAGGGCTTGTTATCATCACTGCTCCAAAAGGATTACGGGCTCGCACATTTGTTAACAGCCCTGATTTCTAAGAGCTGCAAGCGCCGTGCCAGACTGTGGGCTGCCCCTGCTGAGCGGCGGCAGGGACAGGCAGGCAGGAAAGCTTTCCTTTTCTTCTGCAGCATCCCGGGCAGGAGAAAGCCAAATCCCTCCCTGGGGAGCGCTGATCCCGCTCTCCTCCTGCCCCTCAGGGGAGCTGGGGGGGCTGGGGGAACCTGTCCTGCTGCCTGGGCCCTGCAGGGGCTGCGCCAGGGCCAGTGTCCCCAAGGGCACCGGTGGCTTCAAGCCCCCCAGACCGGGCACATCTCTCCCAGGAGGGCTTTTCCTGGACCCTGCAGTTCTGCTTGGTTTGTTCTGCACACCCCTGGGGCTCTCAGACACCTTAAATGTGCCTCACCTCGGGTTTGGTTGGAGGCTCCGTCCCAGCCAGCCCAGCAGGATCCTGCTCCAGCAGCCCCAGTGGGCAGCAGCTCCCCGGCTGATCCCCCTGCCCAGCAGGGTTTGGGTGGTGCCTGGAGCACCCCTTCTCCGGGAGGGCCAAATTCTCCCTGGGGACATCCAGAGCTCCAGCAAACTGCCACCAGCCCTGACCCCACAGGTCCTGGCTGGGAAGAGACAGAGCCTTGCCAAAACCTGATGATTTTTCACATGAGGGGGAAAGAAACCCCTCAAGAAACCAACAGATCTTTTGCTCATTTTCTCCTCTTTTCCTAACACTTCTGATTTGAATTTTTGATTAAAAGTCCCTCTCTCCCCCCTGCCCTGAGCTGCCCCGGGGAAATGGCTGCTTGCAAACCTGCCCTCAGCAAAACTCTCATTTTCTAAAGCTAATTTAGATTGGAAAAGTTTCAACGGGAAATCAGCGTGGCTGGTGATGAGCAGAGGGATGCTTAGGTGGGAAAAGCTTCACGCTGCAGCCCCAAGGGATGGCTCGGGTAATGCTGGGGGAGAGGAAATAAAAACACATTAAGCAAAGGCCTCCAGGAGAAACGGGAGAGAAGAGAGTTAAAGAAGAGCAGAGAGCCAGGAGTTAATACAAAAATAAGCAAATCAGGGAAGGGTTACCCAGGAGAGGCAAAGGGCAGGCAGATGGGTGGGGATGAGCAGCCCCGTGTTCCAGGCGTTCACTCCGGGGCTGCTCCATCCTGGGAGGAACCCCCGTGTGAGCAGATCGCCCCCATTTCAGTGGGGCCTCTGGGGAAAAGAGGGAAAAGAGCTCGGTGATGAGTGAGATCCCCAGAGTCGGGGTCTTGGAGGCCGGGCTGAGAGCCCAGAGCGCTCTTTGGACAGCACAGAAATCCATGAATAAAGGGAACGCTGCCCATTCCTGCCCTCACCAGGCAGAGGCTCTCGCCCAGAGCTGCCGGGGCATTTTCAGAGCCTCTCTGAGGCTGTCTCCTGTCTCTGAGCCTCTCTGAGGCTGTCTCCTGTCCCCCCCAGCCGGCTCTGGGGGCTCTGCTGTCCCCCGATGTGATGTGATGTGATGTGATGTGATATGTGATGTGATGTGCCCAGGGCTGCAGAGGGCACGAGTGGCAGATCTGAAATCCCATGGATTTCACCGGGATGAGATCCCGGCCGATCCCTGCCACACCGAGGGGAGAATCCTCTCTGGGTGACGGGACGGGCTCTGTGTCCCTGACCCCAGCCCGTCCTGCCGGCTCTGTCCCCCCAAACTGCGGCAATGAGCGCGGCAGGAGGGGCGCTCCGAGTTCCTGCAGATGGGATTTGCTGTCCCCGTCCTCGAGAAACTGAACCAGCGCCAGCAATTAGCAGCAATTAAAGGTAATTTACACTTCCCCGGCCAGTGCAAACACTTGCAGCCAGCAATTACAGACTCTTCTCCTTCCCCAGCCGTGAAGCTGCTGGTGCTTGATGCTGATTTTCCCAATCCAGTTCAAATTCCTTCGGGCTCTAACCCCAAACTGAGGGAAGTCTGCACCGGGATGCCCGCGGGGGGCGATCGGTGCCAACGCCCCTTTGGCATCGCCGCTGCCTTTGCTATGGGCACCCTGGGACTCACAGAACACGTTTGCATCCCTGAACTTCCCTGACTTTCACCCCTGAACTTCCCCGGCTTTGTGGGTTTGTTCATCAGCCAGCGAGGCGCAGAAATTCAGCAGTGCCCTGCGCTGAGCAGAGCCCTGGAGGCACCAGAGCTGAGGGCACCTCTGCCAGCAGGACAGGAACGCAGGAAAGGACAGGGATGTCCGGGACATCCCTGGAGATGACGAGGAGGATAACACGGGGTTTTTCCTCGTGCCTTGCTTGAAAGGATCACCCCACAGAGGGTACGCTGAGATGGGAGAGAAGCAAACGGGGATGATGCTGGAGCAAGAAAAATGCCCACAGAATATCGGGGGAAGGGAAATAACTCTCAAGATTTCATTTTTTTACAAAAAACTGTAAGAAGAATTTATACTGAGTGTATGTGGCAGAGATGACCAGGAGTTCCTAGTGAAAAATGAAGTTATTTTTTGGTTGAAAACATGGCTCTGGAGGAGAAAACGAGGAGCAGGAATCTGTGGGGAGGCTTTCATGGGCAATGGGGGCAGCAGTGGGGGTGCCTCTGCTCCCAGGAGCTGATTTTCCCTATAAAATCACCATAAGGAAAGCAGGGAGCTGAGAGCAGTCCCAGGTGAGCGCCTTGAGCTTGGCTGCTCCAGATGTGAGGAGACCACGCCGCTCTCTGCGAGACAGACCCAAAGTGGCCGAGCGGATGGGGGGACAGCAGCCAAAATCCGGAGTGCAGGAGGAGGCATAATGGGAAGGAGGGAACAGGATGGCTCATCCACGCTGAAGGGTCCCAATTAACTGCAGCCACTCCAGGAAAAGATCTGGGAGTCAATGAAACATCTGGCTGATTGCAGCGCAGCTCAGAAGAGCCGCAAGATGGGAGGCTGAGCTGTGAAAGGGGGAGAGAGAAACTCTGAATTCATATCGGGGCACTACAGAAATCAATAGCACGTCCTCAGCTGGGAGCTGGTGGAGTGAAAGGCACGGAGAGCACCCACGGCAAAGATTCGGAACGCCTTGCCAAGAGACGGTGGAGGGCTGCCAAGCAATGCACAGCGCCGGGAAGGTCAGACAGGTGCTCCTCTTCAGTGCTCCTTAAAGCCCAGCAACAAAGGGACATTGAGGGCGTTGAAAAGGCAACCTTTTCAAGGATAAAAGGAAACGCTGCTTTGCACCGCACGTAATTAACTCGTAGAACTCCTGCTACGAGACACCATGGCAAGGGCCCAACAGGATTAGATAGGGCTCTGAATGAGAACATCTGTAGTTACATTAGCTGGGATTAATATATATACGGATATAAGCACTGCCAGGCAGCTCCTCACCGCCTGCAGCCAGGAGATTTCCCCCGGGGCCAGGCTCTGCCGAGCTGGCTGCCGTGGGCTTTTACAGCTCTGTCTGCAGCTTCCAAATCGCCTCCTATTTTCTGTACAAACCTGCTGAGGCAGAGCATTGCCCACCCCACCCAGCCAGAGACGCCTTTCTGTGCTTCAGCTCAGGTTTGGGGCTAAAGAACACCTGGAAGGATCTTGGGGCCGTGCTTGGGATAAAAAAACTCAAAAAAACCCACGGTTTTTCAGTTCAGGTGTTTGAACTTGCTGAGATGGTTCTGCCCCACTGAAGGCTGACAAATAGCACGAAAAAAATGCAAATATTTTCGCACCCCCGGTGCTCGGGCGGAGGTATTCCCAGCCGCTAATCCTGCCCCACACACGTGTGGTGAAAGGTAAATAAAGGGATAAATCTCCAGGCTCAGCTCTCCTCAAGTGTGACCTTTATGGAGAAGGTGCCTGAAAAGATCTGCATTTTTGGAGAATTAGCATCTTCCTGTTTTCGGGGAAGCTGCTTCCTTGGGAGGCTTTCAGAGTGATGAAAAATCCTTTTGCCTGGACAAGAAAAAAAGGCTGGATTTGCCAGGGTGTCCAGATTTCCTCTTGTCACCCTGGATGTGCCAGGATCACAAACCTCACAGGGCTCCAGATCCAGCCTCTGGACTGAGCAGGAACCCAACAAAGCATTAAACTGGAAAAAAGCCCTTCGTTTGCAATGATCAGTGATGAAGGCTCCTGCATTCAGAAATCACACTCTGTTTGAAGTACAAATTCAATCCCAGGTAGCCAATGTGCCTTAGGTGAACATTTATATTTAGCCAGGCTTTAAAATGCTTTTCCAGAATCACGGCCAAAAATTGCTTCCCTTTGGTTGCTTCCCTTCTTTCCTCCAAAGACTTCAGCAGGAGAAAAA